TTAACTAAATTTTAATTATATTACAATTCAGTTCATAATATGTCTATAGACTATCAAACAACGAATAAGTTTTTAACTGTTCATTTTGAATAAACAAATCTTCGTTTGTCTAAATACAAGGATTTTGTCCAAAAATAAGGTCATTATTTTTTTGTCACTTCTCTTGACACTAATTTTATTTCCTGGTTCCTGTAATTCATTTTCGATTATTATTTATTAACCTTTGGCGCTTATCACCACTATTATATTCATATAATTAATATATACTTTTTATATTATTGTATAGTGGACAATTATTTGAAATGACACGAGGATTCATCGAATAAATTCAAGATCATGAGAGGTCGTAAATACGTTCAAACTTCACTTCTCAAAGGCCGACAGCTCCATTTTCTGATAAAAACAGAGAAAATTAACTACTTACGATAATTAATTTGGTCCATATTAGCATAAAAATGAAGACACATTTGTAAATGACTTCGATCAGTTCATAATAATTGAAGTCTAATGAGAACCAAATTATTTGACGCAAATACTTTATTGTTTTAAATTACTTTAAAATATGATAAACTGATAAATGGTGGACTACGTGCACCTAAGCGCATGCAACAAATTAACATAAGCTATTTCAGTTAATTGGATAAAGTAATCAGTAAATATTTTTAAAATTTTTAATTGTTTTTTCATTACTGAAACGTGTGCCGATTGACGGCAAACCACATTTTATTAGGACATTTTATCAAACTGACACGCAAATAGAGGTCTCGGGTCCTGAAAGGTCTATCTTCAGACCTATTCCATGCACAGGATATCGACTACAATAATGAGAGTCAATGTATTGTTTCCGCGTGAAGGTCAAAGTTTATTTTTGTTATTGAAGATGTGAAGTATTAAACCTCTTACTGTGATCGGTCATTGGCATACAGACATCAAAAATTGGCCTTGAGAGTCAGGTTCTATTCGGAAATATTATTTACGAGTACAGGAACTGTAGAAAGTTTAGTTCCTTAATTATATGGTAGCTGATGATGCTTTTAAGATTGATTTGCATAAAAGTAGATAAAGTGGAAGAAATAGGTCAAGATCGCTGCGCCCTTATTCATTGGAAATATTTAATATTTTGTATATTTCTCATATCTTATTTTTTATTTCCTTTTCGATTTTTATCAAGTGTTGATTCAGGAAGCAGGATTTATTTATTTGTTATTAATGTTGTTATATAATCGTTACATTCTGGACTTTCTTGTTTTTGTCTGTTTGTCTCTATGGTGGCAATTTTCAACTCCCGAATCGCTTACTTTGAAATCTTAAGTGTATTTTAAAATCGTTCCAAAAAAATCTGACATCATTCCAAAAAACCAGGTATTACTATTATACAAGCTGATTCTTAGTAGAATTTGAAAAATATCATGAATCCAAGTTGGTATTCTTATGTCACTGTCAATTTTGAGCACCACATTTTATGTAGTGATGAGTCTAAATTTTCCAACAATGGGACTGTAAACCAACACAATTACATTACGCACAAGAAAATCCACGATGGATTCGTAAAACTCATTTTCAGAGAAATATTTCCATCAACTTCTAAATATTTTAAACGTAATGCGTCACAGTGACATTTCGTTTTGACGTTTTTAAAACCACAGACTTGGATTTGTGAAATTCTAGTGTTAGTCAAGGAATAAATGAATAATGTATTTTGGGTTGTCGCTAACCACAAATCACATTAGTCATTTAGGCCGAATCACCCTGTATATTAATATTTCTACTTGTCTTTATTAGAAAAGGAAGTTACATATGTATTTCCAAAAATAATCTGCATCATTGGTTTTCCGGTGGAAAAGAAGACTTGCATGCTTACATCAACAAAATTTTTGCAAAATCGTCAAAAATAATGAATTTGACTTTCGTTTTGGAGATCATTTATATTTATTACACTTTTGTTCGTTGTGTTGTTGTGCTTAGTTAACCACGTGTAGATAGTGTAAACATTATTTAGGTAATTATTAGAAATAATAACAAATAGTAAATACAGTCTAGTAGGTTAATTAGAAGCTGCATTTTTCATTAATGAGATAGTTTATATGCGCTACGGTGAGACTGTGACGTTATATATGTATTTTTTAAATTGAAACATAAGGTTTATTTTAATAGGAACAGTAATTTTAATTGATTCGTGTCATTTCAAGTGATTAGGTGCCTGGATGTTAATGATAATTTTTCCAAAGAACTGATTACATGCAAAAAACTGGTTTACACGTGTGTTTTCTTTGATAAAATAAGTAGGTGTCACTGTGAAATAGACACTCCAAATTTAAGCTATTAAATACTTAAAAATGCTCCCTTTCACCTAGTTAGTGATCTATAGTTAATAGTTATCGAAACAAATTAATATTTTACTACCATTTCAGAGAACTCGTCGAAATAAAAAAATTATTATTGTTATTAATGTTCATATTGTCATTATTATAAGGACAATTAGACTACGCAATATAAAAAATAGCGGTAAAGATAAAAGAAAATGTCACGCTGTTAATTTGAAAATAAACATTTTCGACAAAAATCGTAATATATTATCGGAGGAGAAAAAGATACAAAAAAAAGGTTCGTGTCATTTGTATTTCATAAAATTTTATTACTCGGGAACGTATTTTTTGGTACCTGCTGGTCAGAGTTGAACTTTTCTTATTTGTAAACAACAAACTAGCAAGAATTTTTTCAGGTTTGGAAATTACATACAAAAAAATAAGCCAGATTACTACAAAATTATTAATATTTAATTTAATTAAAATATAAAATTACGTACACATCTTCATCACTGGTGTCTCAAGTGAAATTATCAGTTGTGGGTGCGATGATTGAACACAGTAGGTACTCAAGTACCCTACCTAAGTTTATCAAATTTTGAGGTGTGTAGAACTGATATAGGAAATAGAAAGAACATGAAGAATATTCAGTAAAAATGTGTCACTAAAACCACTGGGTTGCTACTTTAAAGCTAATTTTACGGTTTTATTTATAGATTGACGTACTCTCATTGTGATGTACCTTTAGTGTCCAGAAATAGCTTTTCTCTCGAAACCGTTAATTAAATTTTTATAGCTATCCACATTATAAAAATGGCAATAATTCTTAGCAGCTGCAATTTTGCCAAGGTTAAAAATTTTATTTCCGATGGAAATTCCCAAGAAATGAAATTCACGTTGTACGATATAAAAATAAAACACGATATGATTTGTTTGTATTTGAATTAGGCATATTAACAATCAATGATAGTGCGTATGAAGAAAATATTGACATACAACATGAAACTTTACATTAACCCAAGATGTCTCCATTCTGAATGTCGTTGAAAACGAAAAGGAGCCAAAGTAAGTTATAAATATTATTTGAATATTATAATCTATGTATAGCAAGTTTACTTGCTCTTTTTTCAAATGTTTCAATTTAAGCTTAGATACATAGTTACTGAATCTTGGTGGGTCCACCTTGGAGATTGTAAAACAACTACTCCAAACGAGAAAATGTTTCAACTTGCAATGACCTTTACATAACGTGTGTATTTTATAATCTTATCTTGATTTTTATTAGTCTTTTTATGCATTATAATGCTCATATAAATCTTCTACTTTTATTTTTCGCTTTCCCAATGATCATAGTTAGTAAATGTTATTACTTGTACTATGAACGTGAATGACAAACAGTTTTTCTATTTTTAGAAATCATCAGGAAGTGATTCCTACAAATTATGTAAACAAAATTAGTGCAATTTGCTTGCACTTGCCGTAAGTAGCATTCGTTTCAGTATTAGTCAGAACGTACTAATTTGCCAAATAAACATATGCAAATCAATCAAATCAATATGTATTTATTTTATAAAAGCATAAACAATCACGGAAAGTAATTTCCTTCGAATTCAGGGTCGCCTTGTGTGAAGAACTATTTTTCGTGCTAGATTGTTCTGACCAATTTCAGGCTAAAGCCGGACTTTTACCTTTTAGTAGCGTCAATGGAATTCCCCTTAAAACATACTCGTTTAATCACTGTAAAAAACTGTTTTCAGTGCCTTGCACTTTTGAACTGAAGCTCACATACCCGTAGGGTATTTTCAGCATCTTCTATATCGTAACTTCATTTACACTTGAATTGCCATGATGCTTTTGAAGTTACAGCATTGTTATGGTTTTTTTTTTAAATATTTGAAAAACTGTGTTATTTACTCGAAAGCCTAAGCAACAAAGAGATTGCGTTTGAAAAGTAGAGCAGAATACAAGATCCTACATTTTCTAAAAGAAATCGATAAAGTAGTGGTAGCAATTTACTTTGTCTTAAGCCACTTATTCGAAACATTAAGCCACAGTGTCAAATGTAACAAATTAGAAATAAGTATATAGAATACTTTTGCAATTGTTGAAAAACTATCTGGCAAATCGAGTTGTTAAGTTGTTATATATCTTTTCATTAATAATAAAAAGATCGGAATACCCCAAGGTAATATTTTAGGTTCATTAAATGGCATATTATTTATAACACTTATTAAATTCAATTTTTTTATTTCTTAAAGCCGTTGTCAGTCAATCGAAAGCTGTTACCAATTGCTAAATTTTTAAGCAAAATCAACAGGTGGTGTTTCAATAGAAATGGCGAAGAGAATACTTAAATCGTTTATAGACTTGTTTAGCGTTTTAGCATCTACACGATGTTCCTAAAATACACATGAAATTTCACGACAGACGACAGGCAGACAGAATTGGGAGACCTACTTTTTAAACTCTAGGGGTCATGAAACGTTTAGGAAATATGAGATTAGTCGTTCACCGGATGAATAACTTCCGTAACTTGCTACACTAATAGGTGTATTCACAAAATGGATAATTTTTTGCAACAATTGGCTGAAGTTTATTTGTGTGTAAGTTCAGTGTTTAATTTGTGACCTGCCGCAACAATATTTAAAAGCTATTATTATTACTGCAAACTTTAAAAAGTAGCGTACTTGTCAATTCTTTAAAAATCATGAAAACATTCTAATTTTTGGAAAATAAACTTAAAAGTTAAACAAATTCCATCGAACATTTTATTTTTAGTCGTGGAAAATTTCCGCAAACTCGATTTCGACGAGTCGTCCAGGTGCAACTCTCTACTACGTTTTCAATCATTCTTGCAAACCAAACATTACGCCATCCCTTTAAAAAAAAATTCGCGGACGCAATTTACCTAGAACCCGTACATTATAATCAAATAAACGAAGAATCGCCTTAATAATAACACAATTAGCGTAAACGCAAATGGAATAACGTTTATAAACAAATTATAGCGTGTTGTACCGTACTGAAGACGTCAATCTGACATTGGCCTTGTCACCGTGGAATCTCTTTGATGACGCGGTTGGCACTCCTATAAAAGCGAACAGCTCGCGGAGACCATCATAAACAAACTAACTCTCAAACCGTGTAGACTAAAAGTGAGTGACCAAAACGTGACCATGTATACCAACCCATTCAATCGTACACACTGCAAAGTGCGCCAAATCATTGACAAATTCCTGCACGTGGATACCGGCAGCAGAAACTACAAAAATGTAGTGAAGAGGAGCACAAGCACCTGTTCGGATTCTTCGTACTCTTCGAAAAGTTCCAACAGTTCGACGAAGAGTTCCAAATCGTCGAAGTTCAGTGTTTTTAAGTGATGCGGTGGCAAGACCTTTGAGAAGCTTTGATTTCTGGAAAACTTCGAGGCATTGAGATAAAGAGGTGTGTGTTTTTCTGGGTTAAAATCCATAATTTTGAAAACTACAATTAATTTTGAAAATTTTTCATTTTTAGAATGTGTTGTTAAATTTCGATTTTTGTTACAGTTGGCCTCTTCGTGGATCTTCTCTACTTGCTCACAGATGCTTCGGCTGCGTCGCCACCAAATAAGCTAGCAAAAGGCTGAAGAAACTTGTGCTGTTCATTGTGTTCTAACCCTATTTATGAAGAATAACTTATTGTATTTATTTTTATTTATTGCAATATTTATTTTGAAACTAGAATAATAAACAAAATGATAAAGATGTTGCACTTTTGAGTTATCACGTCCCCAACACACCACGACATTTTATGAATGACTGATTTCGCACTATCATAAACGCAAATTTAAAAACAAACAAGCACTATTTAACATCAGTTAGATACTGAGACATTTAAATTTCGTGGTAATCCACTTCGCAAAACGGAAAAAAACCACGACATTCACGCAACGTTTTATGTGTCTTGGGTTAAATCCTGCAAAGGTTATATGAACCTAAATGAGAGCTTGTTATGTGAATTATAAATTTTATTGTAGAAGAAATTTTATGGTTTAAGTTCATTCTCATGAATCTCTTATCATTTCACGGCTTTTTTGCATGCGGGAATTCCGCTTTGATAATAATGATTTTAATGTGTTTGATTTGCCCTTACATTTTTTAGCAAAGTTGAAGGTAGTAGTGTTAATTAATCATGTTTTTAAGGGCAAATGAATTGTTTGCATTGCGGTATTGAAGGATGTTGAGGAAGGACTGCAAACTGTACAAATCCATACATCATTAAACAATAAGAATATCGCTATTCATGTTTATAATTATAATAATAAGTGGAAGGTGTGATGGCAAATAAATTACAAGAGTTAAGGTACTAGGAAGATCCTTTATTTACAGGGTTTTTAATTTCAACTAAAGTTTAGACAAAATTCCTTTGGAAATATAGTTGGTCGTGGCACTTCCGATTTCCCTGGAAATCAAATATTCGGAACAAAGTACTAACAGAAAATAGTTTAAGTTAACCAAATAGAAATGTCACTATTATATCTATAAATATGTTAAATATATTTTGACTCGAAAAGATGGTTTTGAAGTAACTTCCTAGAAATCTGTTTTGGCACTAATATTCATTTAAATATACACATTTTGGACTTAGGGATCCTACTTTCCAGATATAGTGCGTAAATTTTATTTAAAAGTAATATATTAATAAATTGTGTATGCTTAAATAACCTTGCACCTTTGTATTTTGTTCCTAAGACAAATAATATGGTTCTGTTGATATCTATTGTTCCACATAATTGTCTTTAGTAGGTACAGACCTGACCTTCCTACCACATTTCATTGTTATGATGTCAATTTTTTTTGTGTGATGTACACGTTTATAACAATCTTGATCACTATCATCATTTGTAAATGCGATGTTTGTTACATGAAAACTTTCCACTTTTTAAAAGAAAAGCAGAACTAGTTAGTGAATGTATTCATGAACTTATTTTTAGTCTATTATTAAAGTCTGGTTTTAAATTAACACTAGGTACAAAGTCCTACACAATCGATTAAATTTATTACAATACGGGACTTATTCGCAAATGCCAACACGCCTTAGATCGTATTCATGAAAATACATATGTTATAATGAGATAGACGGGATACATAAAAACTAGTAAGACGTCTACAAGATACTGAATGGTCGCAAAAAATGTGGTACTGACGTCAATGGCTTAACAATATAAGTGAGAAGGCATTTTTTCATAATTACTTGCACAGCCGAAATGTTTAGCAGGTTATACACTTCTGCATTTACCACTATAATTTGTTTTTTTGTTGACGTATACAAAGTAGACAAACATTTGTTTTAAAAATAAGTAATTTTTCGGAGATTACGATTTAATGGGATAAACATGTATGAAGACGGTTTTCAGTACTGTTTACAATGGAAATTTTATTGTATGGGTATAGGTAACATACATGTTCGTTTACCTGGTCAACTGAGTGTAAAAAAAGTAAGATTAATTTTTCTTTTTTATTATTTAACAATTTACTTGGACATACATATGTTTATTACACGTGTTATAGATTTAAAGTAGAACTACTTAACTGTGAAAACTTGCTGAGAAATAAAAAAAAAATTAATGAGAAGGCACACACAAGTCCCGTCGTCAAAAAAATGTAAAACTATAACTAAAGAGTGTAATAATAAAACGTAGTATCTCACTGACCACTTGAACTATGGTGTTGAATGTACCTACATTAGTAGGAACATTAATTACGCATTAATCGACGTCAACTAAAAATTATCACTAGTGCTAATTATTACAAGCTAAGACATTAAAATTTAATAATAGCAGATTTACATAATTAAGACGAATTAGTTCAACAAGTATAAAATAACGAATTAATGTCTTCAAAGTGGTACCTAACTAACATCATCTCAGTTATTTATACCACCAACAAAATGAGGAAAAAGCAAGATGTGAAATCAAAGGAAACAATCTTAGAGAAGGATGCCCAAAATTTCGGGAAAATGGAGTGTGCCCTGTACAAGCAATTCTAAAAAGTATCAGTGCATCGATGGACCTTAAGCAGCTTAGACGGATAGGATTTATTCGGAAAAATTTTGTGATAACGTCATTAATCTGGGAAGGGGGAGAGGCTGACCAACGGATAAATTTTGATTAAGGATTTACAACGCTTACGATAACCTTAAAAGATTTGCAAGATTTCAGAGCATTCGATTTTGCAGTTTCAAAGTTAAATTGTTACATAATTTCCGTTTTTTTTTGAAATCTGAAAGTCGAAGACTAAAATCAAGACGGGTTAATAAACCACAAATGCAGAGGTATGTTATTTTATAGAATTTAAATTAATATGTCTTCTATACTATCTAACATTCTGAGATGACGTCGTTACAATCCACACAGACGGTAGACGGCACACAACGGAGAGAAACGCTTCTTTAACTTACATTTACACTAAAATTTTGTTTCAAGAAATTAAAAATGACTAATATTAGTTGAATAATTGTGTTTCATTATTTTCCAAATATTTGTCTGTCTAAACTAGGACAGCTTAGAACAAGGCAAAGAATTAAGGTCAAATTAATATTGCCGGACTTGTCACTAAATTGATCTATTTCGGTAATAATAATTAACCATATTATAGTCATAACGAGTGATATTAGAGTTTACATCAGAACGTTCTAAAAGTTACTAGAATCAATTGTAATATTGATCTCTACATTTTCATGATGAATCGTTTTAAGCTTTAGCTTCAATTCCTTCCTATCAAGCTTAACTTTCTCGATATTGTGGTCCCCAAACTGTGCGTCAGATGTCCAAGACATACGCACAAAATTTTAAAACACGCGAAACATTTGAAATTTGGTCTTGAACTGTGATCATCAACAAAATGAAACCTTACGTTGTGTGTACAAAATATAGAAGGCATTAGAAAAAAGTTATTTCGACAAAATTTCCGTTTTTTGAAAAATTAGACAATTTTATTTGTGATAACCTCTTTCCATACAAAAAATTAGGCAATAGCAGCAACAGTGTAAGAGAAAACCAGTGGTGCAAAGAACACAGACAGACAGACGATAAACAGAAATGGGAGACCACTTTTTTCGTATTCTAAGGGTAATGAAACGTTCGGGAAGTAAAAAAGAAAAATCGTCATTAAAGTAACTGGGTGGTAATCCTCAAGTTACTAGTCTACCTACTTCTTTTTTTTAAACAACATATTTTTCGCATATACAGGATGTTACAATTTGAAATGCAATAAATATTCATAAAAATATATGTGTATTACGACTATCGTGTATGTGGTAAAACGCTAATCAAAATTTGGCTAATCATCCCTACCAACAATTTGTTGACGTCATCTCCTCATTTACTGTAGTAAATATTATTTACTACAGTAAAAATTCCTCATACATGATTCTCAGTTTAAGAATATTAGGATTTCGTTTGATAGGACACCAAGGCAACAGGAAGTATATAAACAACTTAAGGCTCAGTTAAATGATCATTTGGCAAAGGGAGAATCTAATTTAAAGATCCGCTATTTTAATGGAACTCCAAAAATCGTCAGTTTAAACTAATCGCGTCACCTAATTACTCCGATCAACTTGTTTGTTTTTATCAAAATGTTCGAGGATTACGGTCAAAGATTGGTTCATTTTATAATAATATTTGTAGTTGTGATTATGACTTTATTGCTCTATCTGAAAGCTGGCTTTGCAATGACATTCAAAGCAACGAACTCTTTCCCTCCAATTTTCTTGTTTTCAGAAAAGACAGAAATTTTCAATGTTTAAATGTTTCTAAAGGTGGCGGAGTACTTCTTGCCATTGATAACAAATTTATATGCTGTCAATTAGACCTTTCTCTTATTACTAATACCTTACCCTCTATTGACATTGTTGGTGTGAAAATTTCCATCAATCCGAATGATAGTTTGCATATATTTGTTTTATACGTACCTCCCTCTACCCCTGTTAGTGATTACCAGGCATTTCTCAACATATTTAGCACTATTGAAGGAACGCTGAGTGACCGAGTAATTATTTTAGGCGATTTTAACACCCCCAATTTTCTCAAGAGCAACGATAGCATCTGCATATCGTTACGTAATTTTAGTCAGTTTAACAACCTTACGCAATGCAGTAATGTCCCTAACAAATTCGGCCGTATCTTAGATTTAGTTTTTTCCAGTTTTGACTGTACGGTGGAGCGATCTGCGAATTCACTCGTTGATGAAGACGATCATCATCCTAGTCTGGATATAAGTTTTGATCTCTTAAGAAAGTCATACGTCAATTTTAGCACGAATGTTAATATACAACAGTTTAACTTTAAAAGAGCCAACTATCCGTTACTATACGAGCTACTTTCTTCTCAAGACTGGTCTCCCCTACATAACTTTAAAGACGTCAATGGTGCATGTTCTTTTTTTTATAACACTTTGAATGCCATTTTCGATGCTGCTATTCCAAAATTTGCGGCCAACGCTAACACTAGTCATAGATATCCTCCATGGTTCAGTCGTGAGATAATAAATAATTTAAAATTAAAATCTTACTACTTCAAAAAATTTAAACGTTTTAAATCAAACGATTTTTTCAACAAGTTCAAACATTTTAGATCACTTTGTAAATGTCAAATTAAATCGGCATATAGGCAATACCTAAATACAGCGCAAAACTCTATATCTGCAGATCCTAAGAAACTTTGGACATTTATTCGTAATAAAAAAGGACACAGTAGAATTCC